AGGAGATGAAGAGGAGGAGGAGGAGAGAGAAAGAGAGAGAGAAAGAGAGAGAGACATGTGAGACGCCCTGCTGATAGCAGTATTGATCGAGCGAGAGTAAGTAGATCTCAGGAGTCCTGCAGAGAGACAGAGAGTTATTCTAGCTGCTCTGAGAGTGCATAGCAGATGACTGTGGTTGTGTGTGTGTGTGTGTGTGTGCATGAGTATTAGGGCTTCAGCATTTGATTTAAAAGCAGGAGAAAAACTGATGTTCGTGAGGGGGATAAAGTGAACCACCACATGATGTATTTATGTACCTGCATTCTGTGTAGACTTAACCCGCTGCTATGTTCTCTGTAATGATATTCTCGTTAAGATGATTTGATATTTATATTCATCTATTTTCCATCAGCAGCCATGGAAAACCCCTGTTTAAGTGGCTCTATGAGCAGGCAAGGCCTCCAAACACAAAACACAGGCACGGTCGGTGTGACATAATATGTTATTGATGAACAGACGCCCTGGCTCCTGGGTCATCTCCATCTGCTCCCCGCCCTGTTAGTCCCTGTCACTGAGCAGGAGGAGGGAGCAGGGTGGGTCTTGCCTCAGGAGCTTTAGGGCTCACAACACCACCACTGCACCACGCTGGTATAGAATATAGATTGTGAGCTGTGTCAGTCTGTAGATGATCAGAGTAGAGCTGTAGCCACCAGTAGCTCATATACTTAATATTGTGTCTGGAGTTTGGAGGACTTTAACAACTTAAAGAGTTTATGTTCAACAATTACAGACAAATAACACATGGGGTTATTTTTAGGACTGGCTCTGATATTTATAATACAAAACACAAACAATAAAGGGATTTCTCCACTATCCCAGAGTGGATAATTCTTTGATAGTAATTTAGAGCATCATGTAGGGAGATCAAATTAACAGGATATATAACATAACTGTATTAAATATATTTAATACTTAAATTTGCAGACTTTCTTTGTTTCTAGGCAAACCTTTTTCATGAGTGGGGTTTCACTGGGATAACCTGGACTCAGCCCTGGATCAGAACAGACAATTGGCAATAATTCCTTCAAAATAAAGACATGGAAATGCGTTAACTCGTTAATTATTTACTGTATGTCTGCAGAACACCAACCTCTCAAATTAGTTGATTACCTATGGAGAGAATTAGCTGCACACTTGTCTGGTGTAAAATCTGAGTTTGAGCTTTTTGCCAACAAGCATTGGCCTTCATTGTTATATATAGAAATAATGTAATGAAAATGAAATTTAAGGAGAAAATCAGTTAATTTGCTCCCTAAATCTGTTATATATTTTCTCCTCCATCAATTTTAATTTTAATAGCCTACTTTGTGTTCCGAGTGCAACATAAGGCTCTATAGGGCTTTTATTTTGAAAGTTACAGGCCTCGTGTTTTTTTCAACCTGGCTCGCTTGATGGTGTTGTGGTTCAGAGGGTTATCGCAGTTGATTATGATGGAGGAAAAAAAAAACCCACCACCGACAGAGGGGAGGTGGGGTGTGGGGGGTGTCGGGGTGTGCACCCAAACTGAAATGACATCACCCCCTCTAATCTTCGCCCAAAGCCCCCTCCCCTACCCCCCTATGTCCACCAGCTAGAGAAACCGGGACCAACCGGGACAACCCCACCTCCAACCCACCCTCGACACACCTACAAGAACACACACTCATGCACGCAGAGCTTAAGGCCCTGCAGAGGCGCACTTACGAAATTATCGGTGCCGCCGGGACACAGCACGTAGAAGGAGACGCCAGGGTCTGCGTAAAAGTCCAGCCGCCTCTCGTCGTCCTCCTCGGCGAAGATGAGGTCGAACGGGTTACCGGAGCACCACTTCTCCGCCGCCTCCACCAGATGCTTAAACTCCATCCTCTGTTAACCGGTCTGCGGTTTCCCTGGCTCCGGAGCTTTATCTCGATCTCTCTGGCCGTCACGGTGATGATGCTCAAGACACAAAAAACAGCTGATCGGACAGCAGCATCAGCAGCCCCCACGAACTACCGCATCTCCTCTAGTGCACCGTCTGCATGGTCCGGGAATAGAGATAACACTGTTGGTGCATAGAGCCTTACCGGGTCTGGTGCTCAGCCGTTCTCAAAGCCCCATTCCTCTCTTCCTCCCCACGTTATGAAATCAGCCCGTCGGTCGCATACATGCATACGCAGGAGGACGCTGGAAAAAACGCGATGACGAACAGTGGAGCCGGGCAGCCGTCCATATCCGAGGCGCTGCACTCCCTGGGCAAAATGACTGTATCATTTGAACCTGCTGACATCATGCAGGAGGAATACACTGAACACTTCTGGATTTATATGGGTCTATATAATATATGTGCTGCATATATACAGTGTATGTGGTATATGGAGGACAGACAGCATGAACAGTGTTGGGCTGGTTACTCAAATGTACTGCTGTAATAAAATTACTTTACTTATTACTCCCTGCCAACAGTAATTAGTTACACTACTAGTTATATTACTGTTCTGCTACTCCCCATTGGTAATTGTGTCCCTTCTGCCCAAAATTCAGACTTACAACGATTAAGATCCATTTTTTGTTTGATAAAGTCAAAGTTTCCATCTTCCAAACTAGTTTCCTCCACGAATACACAAATGAATCCAAGGATGTGATTGGATTGTTGGATTTCAAATCAGTAGAGGGTGACAATAAAATGTATATTGTAACAAATTATTTTTTGGAGGAGTAACTGTAATATTATTACTGAAATGTATTAGCAATTAGTTACACTACTAATTACTGGGAAAAGTAATATTATTACAAGTAATGAGTTACTGCCCAACGCTGATCATGAACTAATAAGTAAGGCCTGAAGATCTATAGTGTATATTCACCCAAATTACAAAAATCATTTTATTATAATTTTATATATAATCTCATCATCATAGGGTAAGCATTAGTTTAACTTGCTATGGATGCGTCGAACCTATAAAAGCAATAACTTTTACAAAAGAACTCATAAAGGCCAAATTCTGCAAGAATATCAAATTAACTCAAACTCAACTAATAATTATTATAATAATAATCATGACCATAATAATACTCCTTCATTTCTAAATCATTACAATCATAATCACTTCTACTCTAATGGCGCTGAAAACCCCTTCTATAAGCCTCCTGGCACTGCCCTACTGGGATCCACTGGTCTACATGAGCACTCCCCCAGTGTTTACAGGAATCCAGCCTGCTGCCATGGTCATGCTTCCAGTCTGACCCTCCCTGCTCCCAGGAGTCCTCACCACCAGAGGGCGAGTGAAACCAACTCACAATCCCATGCTGGAGCCGTGTCAAGCTGCTCACAAGTAGCTTCAATGAGACCGGAAAGTGTTTGCATTTGTCCCGTCAAAAATAAAAGTGTAAAGGTGGTGATTGTGGGTGAAGTGGGTAGAATCAGACAACATAACCCGAACCCTAACATATAGGCTAAGCTAAATTAAGTAGTACTACATTAAAGTTACAAACCATTATTCAAGTGTAAGCTAAACAAAGTCACTGAAGTCTTTCTAAATTGATTGTCAGGTATTTTATTACTAGTACAAGACAACACCTAATCACAAGTTGGTAATGGTTGAAGGTTTTCTTTGAATTATTAAATTGTTATTGATTGAGAAAGAATCAAAATATGTATATATTTGTTTATCTAAATTACAGTATGTGAGCATATTTATTATTGGAAAGGGCAAATAAATGACTTAGGTCTTTGACTATAGTTTGAAACAATATATGGAAATCCATTCTGTGTAGGTGTTGTATTTGAGGCAAAATCTCTCCATCCCAAATTAACAGTTGGCCCTGAATGCCACTGAGGGCTTGTGACAGGATGGTCACCGGTTCGATTCCTGAATTGAGATAGATAGGGAAGTGAAAGAGCAGCACTCTCCCCAACCTCATTACCACCACTGAAGTGCCGTTGAGCGAGGCACTTAACCCCCAACCGCAGCACAGGAGTTGTGGCCATCAGATCAGACTGTATTGTAATGGGAAATTTCATGGTGGGAATGTGGTCAGGGCATTCCTGCAAAAGAGAGCCTGGCTCTCACTTCCCAGAAAAAATAAATAGAATTAAAGCTCACTTAAAACCCGGTTGATCTAATATCAATGGAAGTCAATAAAACTTGTTTTCTGAAGTAAGATGCCACGTTTTTTTCTGAAAAGACTAGTACTTATGTTTGATACGGTTCTTGATGATATAGATGTAATTTTTTGAGAACTTATTCATATAATATATATATATTATTAATATATATATATATATATATATATAATCATGTCATTACCTGCCCACATTTTAATTTAAAAGCCTACCGATACACTGAACTGCTGCTGCTGCCCTGGGCTTTTACTTTGAAAAGCCTAACCAGAAGTAGTCCTATTGATCATTAGAGTTAGTTTAGTACTTTCTTTCCCACAGTTCGAGGTTGAGATCTGCTGTAGTGGGTGTCGGATCTCCCTGCGGCCAGACGCGCTCCTCCGCTTTCTCCAGACTGAACGAGCCTGAAGCCTGCAATGTGCTCTGTTGTGTGAAGGTTAGTGAGGGCGGATCACTACTGGACTCCCCTGCTGCCCAGCACCCCGGGGTCGCGCTTTGTTTCAGTGAAGACCCTCAGTCCCTTTCTCCATAAAATAAAATCTCCAGATATCCTGAAAATGGATCCTTTGCAAAATGGGAATAATTGTGAGGAGGACTCGCAGTGTGCTGAGGAGGAGGAAGAAGTGGATCCAAGAATCCAGGTTAGATTTTCTTTTCTTTTTTAACAGATCCAGATGTTGCCACCAGTGAAAGTGACATTGAGGTGAAAATGGGAAGCAGGTTGTGTGGAATAAAACATGTTGAACTCACACATGGTGGGATATTTAATCCAGTAAAATGTGAAATATTACTACTTTGTTATAGCAATTACAGTTTAACTTCTGCTGTGCTTTGTAGTCATGCAATAACATGTTCCAAGGTGTTCATAAATAGATTTAAAAGTATTTGTCCCTTTAAGGCTTTTTCAACACACACACACACACACACACACACACACACTGAGGGCTGCATGCTGAGTAATTTAGTAAACAGAAGTCACACAGTTTAGCCTCCAGATACCCAATCTGTGTTAACCATGCACTTCCCCTCTCTCTGTGCTGTTCCCTGCCATGTTTTCTGTAAACAGGGGGAGCTGGAGAAGTTAAACCAGTCTACAGATGACATTAACCGCTGGGAGAGTGAGCTGGAGGTAAGACGAAACAGCAGCCACTGTTACCATCGTCATTATGAGTGCCTCTCCCTGCTGGGGTAAACACTTCCAGCAACGACTGAGCTGTGCTGCAAAACACAACCATCTCCAGGAGCCATTAAGTCTCACTTTCAGACTTAAAATCTAATGTTTTACCCTAAACGGGTGAGAAATCCTGTCAGTGCTTTGAGATAGTTCATCTGGTTTCCAGTACAGTTTTAGTGTTTTTCAGGAATTTGCCTAGCAACAAGGCTTTTGCATAGAAACCGTTTTCATGGAACATCTTGCAAAGGCGGAAATTTTCTAAATGCGGGAGCTGCTTCTGAGGGAAAATGTGGAAACATTGAAGCAGCGCCTGTCACTCCTACTTAATAACACTGCACTGTGTGAACTCTCTTAGTGCTACAAGAGGCATGACTATGATCTGAATGTTAATTATAATATTTGAATGGCACATTTGGTGCAATCTAAATCCCAAGTGCTCTCCTCATTTCCTCGCAACTCCCTCAGCCTTCCTTTACAAACACACCAAACACTTTTAGAGAGGAAAAAGGCTGTAAACTGTAGCGAGGAACAGCAGAAAGATGGATGATAGTTGTTGTTTTTACAGCGCTCACTTGGATTTAAATGTGTGCTAAAAGGGTTACTGTTCAGCAAAAGTAAAAACATTCCAGAGGCAGGCCACAGTTTTTCTTTTCCTCAAAGTAGGCCTCTTCTGTTTCTCATTAGACCTTTACTCACGTCTGAACACCACAAACCAGTGTTGGAATAATTATAACAGAGAGGCAGAGGGAGAGGACAGGCTTCGTATACACATGTCTCAATGTCGGAACCGTTGTTATATATTGCGTAATTCCTGCTTTCAAGCTATACTGGACAATTATTTTAGAATCTGGTTATTTGTAACCATCTTGTATAGAGAAATCAACTGCTGCTTGCTGTTATTTGGAAATTGTACATTATTTCCACTGCTTTGGCAATGTTTTCAAGCACCAGTTGTGTCAGTGGAGTCACTGATATAAATATACGCAGACATAAGCAAACAGAAAAAGAAAGAAGGCCATTCATCGTGAGACAGAATGAAAGTCGGGAGGTGAAGAATGTGAAAAGTGCCAGTGGCTGGCTGCAGGCTGTTTTCCTGCAGAGTGTGGAGTTGATTAAGGACGATGTGCGGGAGATTCAGAGGACTCAAAGCTGAGGCAATGAGGTTAAATCCATGCTCAGATATGAGGTTCTCTACCCTGCCAACATAAATGTGCCCTGGCAGAGATATAAGATTTGGTAGAGATAAAGTGATAGAAAGACCAAGAATGTGCGCCATCACCATTATTTAGTACCTATAATATATGACCAGTGGCATACAGAATATACCTTCCAAACTGCATGCTGTGTCACGATCTCATCACAGGAACAGGAAGTCAGGAAACAGAATGATGTCACAGGAATTGTGCTTCCTGTTGCGCCCTCTCCCTTTCCCCCTTTAACCCTTTCTTGTATTCTTCAATCAGTTTTATGAACAGGATGCAGGTGCTGCTGCCTTTTAAATTCTCCTTTCTGTGTATGAGAGACACATACACACACACACACACACACAAACAGATGGCTTGCCTCAGCAACCCTGCCATAAAGATGAGACCATGACAGACCTCATCTATGAATAACAGGTCTGCTGTCACTGTCACCTTGGGCTTTATGCCAAAAAAATGCACACACGGACGGTGCCCCTCATGTTATATCATCACTCACAAAGTAGCTTCAACATAATCTCACCACCAAAGAATGTACACAAGGTTTGCTCAACACAGCTTGTTGGAGCAAGAAAACAAATATGCAGCTGCCATGTATATTAATGCATGTGCTTGTAATGGTTTAGTGATGACTTGAATTAGAAGAGCCGCTGTGAAGGCGCAAGGCCAAACTGACGAGGGCCAGCAGGGCAACACCAGCCAACTTCTGGCTAAAGCTTAAAACATTAAAGCCAAGACAAAATACACAGTCGTACTGAGTAAATGACCAAAACTTGGACAACTTTTATGGTATTTACATGGTTTAACCTTGACAGTGTTAGGTGCCTGACTGAGCTATAGTATAGACTAATAATGTGTTAACATGCATGCATTTGCAAATTAGCACTCAACACAAAGTACAATGTTTCCAGAATTATGACTGCAGATTGGCTGATAAGTTTAAAAGCTAATATCTGTGTGCGTGTGTATGTGTGCAGGACTGCCGTCAGCGGTTTCGTGCAGTGCTGGTGGAAGCAACAGTGAAGCTGGATGAGCAGGTGAAGAGGATCGGACGGGCTGTGGAAGACTCCAAACCGTACTGGGAAGCCCGCAAAGTAGCAAGACAGGTACGCACACACAGACACAGACACAGAAGGGAGCTCTGAGGTCGGCAGACAGAAAGTGTGAGGGCAGGCTTACTGAGGATTAGCAATGAGAAGTTTAAAGAGCTCAGCTTATATCTACTTAAACAGAGCACAGTCACGTGATGTCTATTTTTAAACTCAGTCTTACCTCTGTATGCTAAGATAGAGTCACACACACATCAACCCAGTGCGGAGGAGAGCTGCACTGAAACTGCTCAACTTGCCATATTTTTCATAATCTCATTTGTGTCTGTACTTTCATGCTTGCTCTACTGTCGCAGGTAGACGCAAAGTAGGTCGGCTTCCCCAATGGCTAGTGCAATAACTGTGCTGTTCCCGTTCCAGTGGGTCATGTCCTTTACTGTCTAATTGCTACTGCTCCAGCCCACGGAGGCTTTGATCTGATTGGGTAGCAACAGAAATTTAGAGTCCAGCGCCCCCTCTTCTTAGCCAGTAAGGAAGAAGCTTATGAGTCATTCATCAGAGGGCTGACATTTGTGTGTCAGAGCTGAGCTGTCAAACTGAAATAGACTGTGTATATGTGTGTGTCTTTGTGTGTGTCCTTGCTTATGTCTCTTGCAATATGACAAACTACCTGCCAGTGCTTCTGCTTCTGACACTAACACGTGAGAGTCTGGGATTACTGGGAGGTTTTTGAATTTTGATGGGCTGTGTTCACGTGAAAGGTTTAGAAGCCCTCCCTACCTTTGTGTATATATGTGTGTGTGTGTGTGCCTGCACGCATATGATCAGGGGGATTCACTAGAGAAAAGCCGATGAAGGCCTCGGGTTAAACTGGCTTGTTGTCTGGTAATGATTTATGGATGAAAATTTAATATTTAATACATGACCTATTTTAAAAGGATTGAAATGCTTACCCTCACTGACCCTACCAGAATACACACACACACAGACACAATGTTGCACCTACCCCCACGCATAGACCAGTCTCAGCCTCCAACCTCCCATGTTTTCCCCCCTACATTCCAACAGACCGGGGGGCAGTGTATAGGAATTTGCCTGTACTGTCCTATCTTTTGTCCCTTTTACCCAGCATTCTCTTCTGCACCACTGCCTGTCTGTCTGGCTGTCTGTCTCCTGCACCCCTCTCTCACTCCTTACCTCTCTGTTTCAGTCACCTCTCGCTACCTCTTCACCCTCCATCTCTCACCTCCCGAAAACTGTAAATGGGGTGAATTTCTAGAGACGAAGGTGTCAGACAGGATGACAGTGTCTGACACATGAATTAAAAATGAGCCATGTCTTCGCTTACACACACAGACACACACATGCACATGACAAGAAACCCAGTCTTTAGAAGGATGATACGAACAGGCGTCATGTATATACAGGGTGGCAGCGTGTCATGGCATTTCAGCACAAAACCATCGCATTGTTTGCCTTAGAGACAGTCAGATATTGTGGGCTCCATGACATCAAGTTAATTAACTGATAACAATGCTCGTCCTTTGCATGCTCTCCCGTAGTCAGCAAGCTTTTGTGCCTCGAAGATAACCGCAAATTGTGTCCTCCACTTGTGACGTGTTTCACCAGGGTGCTGAAGATTTGTCATTTGTTCAGTTGGTTTTTGCATAGGTAAAGAAAGGCAGAGAGTCACATGATCACTGTGTTTGGCAAGCTTAGGAACTGACAACGCTATGAATAAGCACTAACCCTGCATGAGAAAGGAAGTGTGGTGCTGCTCCGTCCAGGAAGTCCTGTGAAGGACGATATGAAGGACAACACTTTTGTGTGACTTTTTTTATCTCCAACCTGACAAAAGCCATTGATGGATAGCGTTAGAGTCTCTTTCTCTGTTCCTCGCTCATGGTTTCTCTTCATCAAATATCCATCATCCTCCTTCTGTTGTCCCTGCGCTCCCTCTCTTCTCCGAGTCTGGGAAATAGGTCATGATGGACAAAGAGGAGGGATTCATCTTTGCCAGTCAAACTAACAGATTACATGCAAAGAGCAACTGTTATCTTCTCACTCCTTCTATCTCTTCACCTTCTGGAAGGCGCCTTGACAGCTCAGGATAGCATATCTGACCACCGCAACACTCATAACATGACAATACCGATGCTGGAGATGGCAGCTTCTGGATTTGCTACAATTTGTTTGAGACGAAGCAGACCTGTGCTTGCTCACGTCACTGTTGGGGCCTTTATCATTAACATGGCTGACAGTGGCAGTAGGTCATGTTACAGGGGTTAATGGAAGAGAAAGGCCGTGAGAAAAAATGTGTAACAGCTGAGAGAACTACACTGACCTTTTGGGAGTCTGTTGTGTTAAAGAAATTGAATGCAGTTGCTCGTAGTGACTTTGCAGTTCACGTCGGCTCTCGGAGCATTTTAGCATATCTCCACTCTCATTGTTTCCAGCAAGAAGCCACTCTGATAAACCTTCTAGCCTAAACTATGATCTAGCCGGTGAATATATGTAGAAGAGTTCGATATTTCCATCAGGAGTAGGTGGTGGTACAGGAGTGAATATTAGACTCACTAGAAACATGACTGTAAATAAGTGCTAATATTGGTCCGTAACTGTTTACTGACTTTTTAAGGTGATCATATGACAATATTGTGTTTACAGCTGCCCCATAGTCACCAAAAATTTATGAATACAGGCTTAATTAATAAGATTCTTAAGTATTAGTGTTTGCTAAGATCTATCCACTATTAAGCATTTTGCTGCCACCCTTCTTATTACACACTGGATAAATTATAATACCAATAATTTCAGATGTCTAATGAATATAGGCTTTTCTTGTACTGATTTTGGGAAACTCCAACAGAAAAATATGTTTGGTTGGATTTCATACAATTTATGTTCAAAACTGTGAAATTGTTTTAATATGAATAGATGGCTTTATTTCGTTTTCGTATTTAGTTAAAATGGCCATTTAGCTGCAACAATAGCGTACAACAGTCCATTCAAAATGCTCAGGGACAGAAACACAAACTCGACTAACACGTTTGATTCCATTGTAGTATACAGTCAATACAGATGGACAATAAAGTTAAAGCAGGACAAGGGGCATACTGACAGACTTACAGGGTATGTTATAAAATGTCAAATGGTTACACACCACATACAACAACTGATTTCCCTTCAGCTTGAAGGGAAATGTGCCCCATTAAACTGTTGCACTGAACAAAATGTACTCCAGCCCAATAAAGATTTTAAAGGGTCAGAGGAAGAGTATCAGTGACACGGCCGGCTGTAAAATGATTTGCCAGAAAACTTGAAGCACAATTGTTCGCAGATGTGTTTGCTGTGACCTTTTTGCCTACTATAAACCATTTCAGTTCCTTAAAAATAAAATCTGCAGGATGGGTGTTTGTGATTTGTTTGTTTTGTCAAGATAAATTATTCCAAAAAACTAACATCCTAATCATTACATATGGCCTATGCGTCTATGTATGTATCACAGCCCCAGCTAAAGTCTATACTGTTGCTTTGTCTTGAAACTAGTCCTTATTAAATAGCATGCCATCTTTTTGGTTTATTTTCATGCCTTTAATACCATGTTTTCTCCAGAAAGCCAAGATGATTGTCTATGTTTAAAACATTTTCATCTTCATTCACCAATATTGATGTTAAATCCTTTTTATGTTATCAGCTCAGGTTTTGTCTTTTTCCAAGAAAAATGTCTCCATTAGATTTACGAATTACAAATTACCCAGCAAAACAAATTATCCTTGTTATCTTTTATCTTATTCTAGGAAATCTGATAGGAGTTGATGTAACTGCTTAATCTTGATATTCGGCCAATATACTGACCTTTAAGTCACGCCTGTTAGAGTAGAGACAGTGGGTCCAAATATGTCCAGCATGATGGGAATAATCCTCCTATTGACTGTGACTGTGGGCAGAAAGAGCCCACTGACAAAGTGTCAGATTTTCTTAGTGACAAAGCTTCTGTTTGTCTATTAGATCAATGCACGGTTGTCTTTCTGTGCGTGTGTGTATGTGGTTGCGATGCAAAATCTCTTCGTCCCTCTATGGCTGTCATAAGGAATCAACCACGGTTCCTCCAGAGGAAATATAGGTCATAAAATACACACAGACACACACTGGAAGCAGCAGAAGAACTACTGCCGCACTCATCCCACGTGAGAACAAATGCTGGGCCAACTTGCTGGTTGAAACTGATAACCAAAAAGGGAATTTTAAGTGGTTTCAAGCTGTCACAATGGTATGATTTAAGCTTTTCTGTCTGCGTTTTCTATCATGAAACCCCCCAGCTCCACAGAAGTGATATTTAGCACTTAAAAGCTAGACTCTTCTGTTTACCTTGCTTTCACATTTGAAGTGATTATAACTACCCCTCTCTCTGAACTCTAGGCCCAGGTTGAAGCTCAAAAGGCCACCCAGGAGTTCCAGCGGGCTGTGGAGATCCTGCGGGCAGCCAAGGAGACCATCGCCCTGGCCGAGGAGAGGCTGCTGGAGGAGGACAGCCGCCAGTTTGACTCTGCCTGGCAGGAAATGCTCAACCATGCCACACAGAGGGTACGAACATGATACAAAAAGGTTCCGTCCTAAAGTAATTTGTGCTTGAGGGTGAGGTTTAGACCGCTACTGACAGCGGAGATAGGAGTGAAAGTAGAAGTAGTCGATATGATTATACCAGAGTTGTCGATCTTTCGCTTGGTTTCTGCAGTAAAAATAAACCTCTTGACTATTTCAGGTGATGGAGGCCGAGACGGCGAGAACGCGCAGTGAAGCTGAACACAGAAAAACAGCAGCCAATTACAATTCCTGTATCAGCCACATGCGGCAGTTAGAGAAGAAACTGAAACGCTCCATCAACAAATCCAGGTCTGTGCCTTCACTTTTCCCCCTGGCTAGGGCCTCGCTGTGTGTGAGTGTGTTTGTGTGTGAGAAAGAGGGGCTACAGTTATGTCATCTGATGCACTCCAGATGTTTCATGTGTGGGTTGTGCTGTGTTGGGGTGTGCTCCCTTCATAAGAGCCAAGGAATGCGACTGCTCACAGAGGAGTGTTATTCTTCCAGCAGTTTTCTCCAGTGACAGTTGGCAAAATTTCTCCCTCTCTCCCTCTTGCTTAGTTTTTCTTCTTTTTTCTCCCCCTGTAGGCCATATTTTGAACTGAAAGCCAAGTATTATCTACAGCTTGAGGTATGTATGTTAGCAAATTAAAGTTAAGACACTTTTAGTCAAACTAGTTCACAGCACTGTAGTTTATACAGCCACACTAATGTCGGTCAGTCCATCACTTTGGTCCCGAATGAAATAAAATAAATTGTAATAACTTTGGTGAACTCTTTCCATCTACCACACCCATTAAGTCAACATTTTAATTTGTTAAATACTTTGGTTTATGACCAAAAACTGCAAAACTAATGATATTCCTATCAGCCTCATTTGTACTTTGTTTAATGTTTATTAGCAAATGTTAGAATGCTAACATTAGCATTTAGCTTAAAGTACCACTTAGCCTAATATTACCTCCTCACAGTGTTAGCATAGCTGTGGAGTCGTGCTTTAACTTAGGAATTAAAGCAATACAGCTGACTGTTAATGTCATACTAACATAGCCTAGCTAGGAAACCCTTTTCTTGTATGTCAAAATGTATATAATTCATATGTGCGTACAGTTTTCCTGAGAAGCTGTTTTTGTTTTCTCATAGCAACTGAAACGTCTTGTGGATGAGCGCCAGGCCAAACTTGTGATTGCCAAGTCTGAGTATCGCGCAGCGCTACGCAACCTAGAGAGCATCTCCGAAGAGATCCATGCCCAGCGACGCTCCCTTGCCATGGGAACCAGAGAGCAGGGTGTTGGTGCGGAGGGAGATGGAGGCAATGAGGACATTGCCAACTTCAAGATGGAGTCAGACGGTCTATCAAGTGAGTAGAACTGAAGCTCAGAAATGAATAGATCATCCACTTCATCCATCCACCTTGTTCATTTTCTTTTGTGGATGCATCTGTGTGTCTGCATGTTTAATGTGCATATCTGTGTGTGTGTGTGTGTGTGTGTGTATGTGTGTTTCAGTGGTGTCCGTATCAATTGACGAAGAGGGCAGTCACAGTAGCAGCTCAGAGGAGGAGACCGACACTCGCTCCACCTCCTCACCCCGAGCCATGCCCTCCTCACCTTCCTCATCCTCCTCCCATCCGTCCACGTCTGCCTCCCCCCCCCTGGACATGCCCTGCCCTTACCCCTCCTCCTCGCTCTACACCTCCTGCTCCTACCTCTCCTCCTCTCCCTCTTCCCCCGTCCTCTCCTCCTCCTGTCCCGGTGGCTTGGAGTTAGTGAGCCCCTGTAGCTCTCATGACCCAGACTCAGCATGCGGTTCTGGGCATGCCTCACCTCTCCTGGGCCCTCGCAGCCAGTGCAGTGGGGCTTCCTCTCCAGACTGCGACCAGGAGAGAGGTGTGTGTTCATCACATCAGTGTGTACATGTGTGTTAACTTCTGAAATGATTCCTTATGCTACATGTTGCATTGTTAACTATTTTGGCAGTGGAGCATTCAAGAAATAGTTTTGAACATGTTTAGAAATATTCTTATACATATATTTTTTGAGAGCGTGATTAGAAGATCAATACCAATTTCATGCCAGTACATTAGACAGCTAGCCCGACTTTTTATATATATATAAAAAATTAATAATATGCATACCCTTAAGTTCACTAATTAACACATTAGTCAGAGAGCTATAATTATATAATTTATTGTTTTAGTGGGAGTTACACAGTGTAAGTATTTGTTGGCACATTTTATCCATCCACCCAGGACTTTGGGTGCAGCAACTCCAGCTATATTCAGGTTTTTGTTTTGTCTCTGTACAATTGTATCAAACCTGGCAACCTCACAGTGATGAAAAGACTCCAGGAAGTAACTGTGCCCAGCCATTGTTCGCCAAGAAATAGTTACAGCTTGTGTACGGATTAAACAAACTACAGTTTGAGCCAGGCTAGCTGTTTCAGTTATAATAAGTGGGTTTGGGAATCTTAATTGCAAAATATATCAAAGAGTTCTGTTTTAGTCAGCAAAGATAAATTGATGTGTCCTTGGTTTAAGATGCATGTATTCACCATCGCATGCCCTCTGTTTTCTGTGTGCGTGCTGCAGGTGATAGAGCAGAGGGAGCGGAAGCGACGTTAGAAGCCGGTTTGAACAAGCTAACCTTCACTGTAGCAAAAAAAGAAGAAGGGGACTCTGGGGATGAACAAGACCCCCATTTTGTCAACCCTGAAATTTCCTCTCCCAGCTCAGCCACTGCCATTCTGCTACTCAACAGTGTCTAATGAATGACTGTCATAATAAAAACACTCACTGTGCCCAGCTTCAAGCCTCAAACTGGACTCTGTAGCAGAGGACATGGGGCGGGGCACACTCCCAGCTCCAAAGAACCTGACATCATGTCTCCATATTGTCTAAATGTCAGATGGTGTCTTATTAAAGGTGCTACAAGTAGTGTATTTGAACATCAGTACATCATTGTCAAATCAATTGTGAACCCTTGTAGATGTGTTGTGAACAAATAATAGCAGGGGCAGGAGGAAGTTTCTATTGGTATTATTAGTACCAGCATTATTCAAATATTACATTTCCCATAAACCTTCTTGCTTGCTGTTGCAAAGAGGATGTTGCCTGTTTGGTGCCAAAAAGAAATTTGTGTTGTACAGTATGGCAAATTTCCTTTTCTTTGGCAAATTGTAGACATTGAGAGGGTTGACGCCCTTGTCCTTCCTCTCACCAATTGTGTAACTTGTCTACAGATTTATAGTGATTTGTCCAAGTTAAACATTTATTGATATTAATATGCTTCAGTTGGCACCACTAAGAGACGTTTTGTATTGATGTGAACAGTGAGCCTTTTTTTGTCTGAATCTCCACGAGGATCAAAATGGGACAAAATAATCTGTCGGATGTTGGATTATGACTTGTTCTGCCTTGATTATTGAGCTCCTACAGTAACTCCTAAATGTCAATTTGGTAGGGTGTGGAGACTTTGGAGGAATAGTTGTCAAGGAGGAAAGTGGAGTGCAAGCAGCACTAAGGAAGAGACTATCTTCAGATGGGACTGGACATTTTGAGACACAAATGGTCTTCCATTTGGATTTGTGAATGAGTGTGTGAATGTATACAGCCCACCATCTGAGGTGATGGTGATTGAGATAAATGATTTTTTGAGTGTGGGTGTGTTGTGTTTTAGATAAATGCTCAAATACTACCCTGTAGTACAGATATTCTATATTTATACTCCTGTATTCTTGTATATGAACAATGTTTTGTGGTTACTGTTGTTATTGTTTAACAAAATAAGCAATAAACATGTGCTACATGTAACTGATACTGATCTGTCTGACAATGTCTGTTAGCACTTAAGGTATAAATCAAAATATATGGAACAACTCTATTAGGTATGATATGACATTTCATGCTGTAAACATCTACTTGTGTTGATCTGGGGTTAAGGGGGAACTCTTACACAACAGCATGGGTTACAGGAACCTCTGATCACACACAGATGTCCATGTCCTGCCACAGTTGTGGACAACTGAACCGGGCTCACAGCCTCAATGGAGGCCAGTTGACTTACAGCAGCCACGATGACTAGAAAATCTTTAGTCTGAGGCTATGTCCAGAGGAAACAAAATGAACCTACTTCTGATCGTTTAATCTGTATAAAAATCAGCCCATAAAGACAGCATTTAGCACAAAGCTGATTATGTGCTTGACTATTTCTTGGCTCTGAGCAGATTCCAGGAAGTTACTGGTCCTATCAAAGAAATAGTACCACAAGTATTTGAATTTCCCAAATGTCAGTTTATTCCTTTAATGTTAAACAGAGATATTACACAACAACCAGTTTGACTGAATCAGACCCACTGCAACAGTAGTAATAAAAAAAAGTATAAAGCTGTGAAATTACAAAATTATTTTACTCAATATTCCCCTGACTGCAAAATAAGCTGCACAATACAATAAAAGGTAGGCTATTGGCTATTGATAAGAGGGGTACAGCTTCAATGTTTGTGGATATGTGAAACAATTTGTTAAATAGACAGTAGTATTGTTGTATTTTTTCCACTTTTTTCAGTCCTTTTCAGACCCTCAACCTGTTACACACTGTACTTAGTATGAGAGCCTGATATATCAGCTGTTCAAACACCAGATTTTCTTTCAGCACAGGCACAGAGCGGAAAGCTTGAGGACTGTTGGGAAATATTCACTGTCTGAAAAAAGATTAGAATTGCAAACATAGAATCGCTTACCCCATCTTTAAAGGATTTCTAAAAATAGTTTAAAATATTTGTTTATGCTATGTGTAAAAATTGTAAAAAAAATAATAATGGCGGAAATATTATCAGATTTTTAAATACCAATATCACAAGACTATTTTCCTCATAAGCACTGTATCAGTAGTCGATAGCCTACTTAATACAGTGCTGAATAACCTAGTACCTAAGGGGTTATTTAGGAAATTCAGAAAGATATGGAGACCAATTTGACAAATATTTTAATTTAAAAAATACATTTAAAGATTTAGTTTTTAATATTTAAATATGATCAGAGATCCTGATGAATCAATTTAAATTAGTATGTCAGTATCTGAGTTGGTTTTGGAAGATTTAACCCATCAAACCACTCTCTCCACACAAAACCACACTGGGGACAACACAACCACATAGTTCAGTTTAGTCCTGCAGAATTAACACTTTCCATTTGATCCCTGTATCCAGCCTGGTGACGTGAGAATGTGTTGCTGTGTCATGATATTCAAGAATGTTTACTATTAAGTCAGTTCCTGAAAAGTCCTACAAAGTGAACATAATTTTTTTTTTCCCTCTATCTTTCAGCTGTCCACTGAACACACACACACACTGCTTTTATGTCCTGCTGGCTGTTCAGCTGTTGCAGTGTTATCTCATGACTTTAGTTAGTACCCTGACTACCACCTGACAGAGTTCAGTGCTGCACTGTTTTTCTTTTTACTCTGTAAGTCTGTCTTCCAGTTCTTTCTCTCTTCTCCCTGTCTATACATGCTGTGACCATGATGCCTTTCAATTATGCTGCATCCTGTGATTTCAATATCTGTGCCAGAAGAGCTCTGGACTCAGGTCTTACAGGGCAGATCTGTAATATTGGGCAATAATACAATCATGTCCTGTAAGACACTGACATCTAGTGCCAAGTTTGGGTTTTGTATGCACTCCAGTTTGTTTAAGGGAAGATTACTAAATACCATGTCAAATTTGTTAGACACAAAGCTTGGTTGCTCATTTGGACAATCAAACAAAAGACGGAAATGGTGGAGTGTTCATCATGCAGTTGTTTCCATCGTTTTCATTAATAGACCTTCACCTTTCACCTTCACTTTGACATCTGGACAGGGGGAGCCAGGCTCTTGCCCTCACTAGCATTCTAGTTCTTAAAGCTGTTCCTGTGTCCCATACACCGCACAACCCCAGGAATTGCTTTCTTTATTTAACAACAGACTACAACTTGGCCCCATGATCATTGCTGCCCTAATGCAGTTAGCTCACGATAATTCAGTTAGCTCACCATCATTGATGGCATTCCTGTGTCCTATACAGTTTTTTTATGTAATAAAATAACTCACCTTGTATTTGATGATGGAGGAGATTCACACTGATTGGTGTGTGGGTGGTGTTGCCTCCATCCCAAAAAACAGTTGGAGCGAGGGGTTGGTATGGTGAGAGTCTAACCTAGTTCATCACCACCATGCACCCCCAACCAGGCACGCACACCGGGTACTACACCTCAGTTACATTGCCCACAACCTCACCACTTTAGTCATTTAGCTCACGATCTTTGAATCGTGATTCACAAGTGTGATTGCAAATACATAGTACATTTTAAAATGTTCATGTAAAATAAGAGAATGTAACTTCGTATTTATTCAGATCTCGTTCTATTTGTATGCAGCATAGTATATGTAATGACTTTTTTCAAGGTCGGTGTGAACTAATGTTAAATTGTCCTGTGACCTGACATCGTAGTTACTGTATTTAAATCTAACTATAGAGCAGACAACATACAGTGCTGCTCCCTTGCGTTTTCTAAGACCATCCCACTTATTAATATAAGATGCAATAGTTAGTGAGAAATGTGTCACTTGTGATGAAGCACAGTGCACTGTGATACACAGTCAAGAGGCTTTTAGGTGGATCAATAAAACAATATCATCATAATCAAAAGCAGATAGGATTGCAGACTGTACAATGGTTTTTCGACTAGCAGCAGAAAAAAAGTTTGTTTCTATAGCGTAAAATCCAATTTTGACCTTTAGTTTGCATGATAGATGTTCAACGTAGATCTTAAAAGTGAGTTTGGTATCCAGCGAGAGTCCCAAGTATTTATAACATTCAACAGTTTTAACACCCAGTCCCAGCAGTAGCAGTAGCAATAGCGGACTACCTCATAGTGGCAAACTTTTAATTTGTGGCAACTGTAATTTGTAGACAAGTGTAATTGATATAATCTAAGTAATTTAAGTAGGAGGCTATCCACCCAAACCAAGGGAAATATGAGTCTTTTTTTTAAATAGTTTGAGTAACTTGACACAGGATAAGGCTCAAACTTTTATTTCTGTTTGACTAAAACAGCAAAGACCATAAGTGTGGAGCTCCTATTTCTGTTAATTATACACACCACCTCCCCTGCTCTGCAGCATCCTGTGTGACTAATGTATTATAAAAAACAATAAAAGCAACCTTTAAACTTTAAAAAAAAGTCCTACAGGCAACATTTTCCTCTCAGCGATATCACTGACAGAAAATATACTTTTTTTAAGCACTGTTCAATCTTTCCCTAAAATAAATAACCACGGTTTCATTGAGTCATATGACACGAATCACATGATATCCGCGCAAATAAAACCCTCCTCTCGTTTGTGATTGGAGCACGCTCTGCCACGCCTCGCTGTGATTGGTTGAGACAGGGTGTGTTTACCGTTAGTTATTTAATTAGTGTTTTAGGTTGCAGAGTCATGTGTTTCTGTTCTAGTTTAGTCTGACTGCTTCATTTCCTGCGTCCCTGGCCTCACAGTAGTTCACAATGCGTTTGTACATTGCAGCTGTCCTTTTGTGGGCTCTTATAGGTAAGGGACAACTTTTAATTCGCCACATCGTGTTTCAAGTTAGCTAGCCACATGCTACGACAGCAGCTAGCAGTTAGTGTTACAGTCGTTTCATGATAGCTATCTTTCAGGTTGTTGAGCCAAAACGTTCCGAAATATGTGATTATAACAGCTTTATAGTAGTGTTAAATACATGGCTTCAAATACTAAGGAAAGTATGACTGCTTCTATCTCCTGTACGTGCTAATGAATGCAGAGAATGTCACGCCAAGCTTCAGGCAAAAATCTGTCGATTTAAAGTTGACTTGTTTGTCAGGATAGCCTTATACAGCCTCAAATATGGTTCATAACCATGAGTGAAACTATAGAATCTACTCTTTAATTCGGTGTACATGTAATACACCTTGCAATACGGTATTGGCTAAATTACAACTATTTGTCATAAGCCCTGCAATGGTTCCCTAACTTGGCAAAAAAAACAACAACACAATGTGAGGCATTATGGGCAGTGTGAAGGTCTGAAAGCTTTGTGGAACCCTGTGAGCTGCTTAGTTATTATGACAGCATTGGTTTTCTAGTAGATATTTGCCTTCACCTCATTTCTTTGTAAGCGTTATGGACACAGTGTCAGTGCCCATGGGCAATATTAATTGTTTTTTGTCCTCATAAGAAATGGATACGGTCAGTAATCCTACTGAAAATGCATTTTTTTGTAAAGCACCTTTCAGCATTCTTATGTTTGTTTCCAGCTACAGAGGGAAAAGCAGTCCCTTCCCTTCCAAATTTTGGAAACAACTATCATGTTAAAGGTAAGCAGTGCAACATCAGATTACACATTTGGGACTCTTTTTTCCTCAGAATTAATGCTCATTTCAGGAACGTTTCACATTTCTATTGCAGGAGTGATTTCTCTGCCCTATGCTGAAATCAAGGAACCGTTTGAGGCCTGGTTAGACCTAGCAGCAAAGTCCAGCCGAATAGACTACTACCATGGTAAGAAAGCACTTGACCTGTGGCTGATTCTTTTAAACCCAACTCTGTTTTTTCCCTACTTGGTTGGATTGGTGATGTGAAACTAAAAACCTGTTGTGTCAGACCAGAGCAGAACATAAGCACCCAGTACGAAAACAAAGAAGTGAAAAACAATGAATAAGCAGCTCTTGGGAACTTTTTTTTTCTGTTGACTCATGTTACATACTCATGTGACTTTGGACCTTTTCTGTCAAGCCATCAATGCGTATAAAGTGTA